AAAAAGCCTAAGTCATCCCCAAATACTCAGTACAGCAAAATCCATAAAATTTCCAAACAAACGTACTCAACAAAAACACATCGATCCAAAATATCAAACAAAAATAACCAAAGCATTACATAAACAAGTTGGGCCTAGACGCTTTGTAAGTGGTCTTAAGCTTCCTAGTCGGGGGCCTTACCTTTCTAAACACCAATGGGAACTTGATTTTCGAGTCGTGAAATTGCTTGGTGCTTTCCCGCTTGCAGAGCTTGGCTGGAATAGTAGCCGTTTTGATGATTTGGATGCAGTGGTGACGAACCCTATGACGAGAGGCCATTTCGGTGTACATTTGCTCGACTCCACCATTGAGAGTCGTGTCACGATACTCCTTGTACATGTTGTGATAGCCGGTTCTACTCTGGTACCTTAACCAAATCCCATAGTTCTTGATGGTGGTCGGGTTCTTCTCGAATATCTATTAAAAAAAAACAAATTAAAAAAAAAAAGGCTCAGGATGGAAAACTCGATGCAAGATTACCGAGTGAGAAAGACTGAAACGAATATGCATACTTTTTTTAGGAAAAAAAGTCAGTACTTTAAATTACAAGATAAACAAGAGTATAATGTTTGATAGTATAGTAATAATTTTTTTCACGGAGTATGATGGGTCGACATGCCTAACAGTTAGGCTGACTCAACGCAAGAATTTGTGTTTGATGAAATAGGAGGGCGTTTTCAATCAAATTCACATGATAGAGCAAGAAAAAGGGTTAATGGCAAAGAAGTAAAGAAAGGAAGGAAAAATAAAAGCTAAGACAAATAGCATTTGAGATAAATTACTAAAAGATGATGTTTTTATCACGTTAGTGCACATGTTACTACAACATTTAGAGCGATTTGTAAACTCAATGTAAACCAAAAGGTTTTAAACATATTATTCTTCAGCAGTGCAGAAAAATTGAGTTCCTGATTTATTTATAAGAATGCTCTGACGAACACAAACATGGTTAAAAAAGATGCTACCAGAGAATGGAACATACATGTGTTGCAGAAATATTATGAAATGTAAAGCCGGAAATAAAAACAGAATTCAACTACACATCATAATTAGCTCATCTAAATTCATGGCAATGTGCATTAATTTCGAACAGTACGGATAAATCAAAACAGGCCCTTAAATCCAGCACAACACAAGAACTTTATAATGGGAACGAAAATTGGGGAATGCAAACACAGCTCAACACATAATAGCTTGAAGGATCAAGAGGTATAATTAAAGGCGCAACCAAACCAGGTCTTCTTCAGCACACAAGAATTTAAAACGAGAACAAAAATCGGGGGATGCAGAATCGAAGCATAGGACAATGCAATTAGGTCAATTGCGTGTGTTCATATACCTCATTAATAGCAAGAACCTGACCGTTGCTCTTCTTCACCTTCTTAAGCTTCCTCAGAAAATACCTTTACAGAGAGAAACCAATCATTAGGGACCCATTAAGTCCAAAATATCAATAAAAGCTTGAGACTAATAATCCTAACAACACACATCCATTAGGTAATGCATCATAAAAGAAATCAACAGATTATCAATTTGCTTTGCCACATCTTAAACCCCACTAAATTGAAAAAAAAAAATGCCATCGAAAACTAATAGCCAAAACCACCACATCAACATAAACATTGAGCTATAAATCGACAAATACAGACGAAACCCACAAAAAACAAAAAAAAAAAATCGTTATTTTTCTTTTTCAAAGAGGGTGTCAATTATTACCAGAATTTTGACTTGGCTCGGACCTCATTGGTCGCCCATAGCTTCATCCGGTAGATCTTGGGGTGCTCGTCCGCCTCCGTCGGCAAAGCTCTTCCGACCACCTGGTACTGGTGGAACTGCAAATGACACCATAACCAAAGACAAAGATCAATCAAACATAATGCATAAAGACGTAATTGAAATCTTGATTTGCGTCGAGAGACGGGATAGCTTACCCTGTAAGTAACCATTTCTGACAGAGTTTTCAGCTGCTAGCTAACTTCTCCTCTGTTGTTGTGAGGCGCGTCTAGGGTTTTGTTTTGATTTGGGGAAGCCATCTAATAGAACCCTAGCCTACGAATTTTTTTGGGCTGGTTTTGAATGTTTGGGCTATGCCTTATATATGGGCCGCAAGCAAGTTGTTTCTTTATGGGCCTTTCTGGGCCTCTTCTTACATTTGTAGAACGGCCTTGTAAATTGGTGGCTTGGCTACACTTGAAATAATGACACTCTTAAGTATTTTAAAATATTGTTTACATTAATGACATGGCAATTTAATTATACCATAACCGGTTTCTATTCTTTTCTCTTTTTTTTTTTAAGTTGTGAAGCAAGAATGTATAATGTTTTCCATGAAAAATATGTAATAGCATAATAAAAATCCAGAATATTTGAAAGTTAAGGTAGGTGATGGGGACTCCTACTATTACTTATGCATATGATGACAATGCAAATTTTGTGTATAACTCAAAGTGGAAAGACAGATACATTAAAAGTGATTTGACCCATCACATTTTACCCCATGCACAAAAAAATAAAAAAATAAAAATAAAAATAAAAAAATAAAAAAAATTCAACTGAGCTTCATAAAAATGATCATGTAGATTTCTATATCACCACCTAGATTCAAGACATTGCTGTGCTACATTGGAATAAGAAGGTTGATTGAAGGTAAAGATCGATAGCTTCTTTATTAAAAAGGGCAAGCAATTTTTCTTTTTTTAATGTTTTCTATATGCCACTTTTCTCCTAATATATATTTATTGTTAATTAGTTGGGTTTGTAATGGGTAATTTATAATAAAAAATACAAGTATATGTATATGTTTTTAGTAATTTTTTTACCTAAAGTCCAAAATGCATATAATGATATTTGAATTATGAAGTCGTATATTTTAAATGATTGTAATTACAAATATCGTCATGTCTAAAATTATAAACACGTTTTTCAGTACTCAGTTATAGACGAAACATGAAATTTTCTCTCTCTTATTTATAATCTTTATATCTCTCTTCTTATTAATTTTGGGACAATATCTTGTATCTAAAAGAAAACATCCCATCCTAAAATTGCTAACTCCAATCATACGTTTGACAATTTTTATTTTTATTTTTAGTTTATTTTATTTTTTTAACTATTGAACATTTGAACGTCCCAAAAGACCTTCTATTAGAGAGAGGTGTGATTGGTTGTTGAAAATGAACATGATATCACATTTAAAATTATGTACCTATACATTTAATATGTTTGGTTGGGGGCATGAATAACCCTTACGCCTCTATTTACTTACCAAGATGAATGAGATAACATTCTTTAATCAATCTTATTCGGTGTTTATTAGCAGGGAGCCAGGGATCAAGATTGGAATAAATCCTATGTGTCATGTATGTGGCAGGTGGACACACGCCTGTATCCATGACTCGCAATAATTCTATCACATCTTGAGGGTGGAATATTTTTATCCCAATACAAAAATTATTTTTTTGTTCAAAAATGTATAATGTCCATTACCCCGATGAGTGTCCTAATAACTATGGAATGAAACTATCCTATCTCATCTCTTCAAGTAAATGAGGCCTTAAAGTTCATATGGTCCGGTTATCTATCAAGTACAATTTTTTATTGCACATTACACCATCCCACGTGGTATATAATATCATCTTCAGTACCTTCAACATTAAAAATTATAAAAATACTCCCAAAATCGTTTCTTTTGGAAAGGCCACGCCGCCGCCGACATCTGCAGAAACATGAACTCGGCCTTCCTCGATGACCGCAACTTCGAGACGCTTTCGGCAGCAACTCGCTCATTAGTTCTGCCGCAAGGATGGTCTCTCTAAATCGACTATTCAGTTGTGTTCCGAGTGCTGAGATTCGACCAAGAGTTATTCGAGTCCATCCTCAACGAGTCCAACTCCATCCTCAACGAGTCCAATTTGAGCGACAATCCCTCGGGCGGGGCCCCCGCAATATTCCTACAATTCGGCTTGCGATTTTAGGGCCTACGAGTTGATGGTGTTGGCGGCAATCTAGGTTTACGAGGGGTATGTGGTGGAAGAAATTGTGAAAATTATACATTTGTAATTTATTAATACTAGTACAATACCCGTGTACTATACGGATGTTGAGTTAAGAATATATGATAAAAGTTATTGTTAAAATAATTTATTTATTTAAAAAAAATTTATGGACTAACTGATAAAAAAAAGAGAGGAATAGACAGTGCACAAAGTGATTGTAAATCGTACATTATGAGAGAAATATGAGAAAAAAATTATAATATGTAAGATTTGTACTTGCCCAAACTAAGAAAAAGAATATGTACTAAGAGAAAAAAAATAACAAAATTAAATATACACTTACCAAGGCTATGTTTGGTAAGCTAAATAAGCTATATAAGCTCCCTGTATTCAAATAAGTCTCGTTTGGTAGGATGAGTTTTTTTAAATAAGCTCGAGCTTATCTCATAAGCTACTTTAGGTAGCTTTTCAAATAAGCTAGTTGAATTTTTTATTTAAGCTAGCTTATCAGCTAATTTTGCCAAACACTTTTATCATATAAGCTACATTTTCAACTATAAGTCATAAGTTATAAGCTATAAGCTCAAAAATTACACACAAGTTATAAGCTAACTTATCAGCTGATTTTACCAAACATAACCCAAGTTTGATAAAAGTTATTTATGTCTAATACCGAGCCTAACTACAGAGCAAAAATGAATATATAAACAACATTACAAAACATGTCAGTATCCGAAACGTGAGATCTGCCACTTAAACTCAACATGTTTTGAATTAATATATATGGACATATATCTAAACTACTTTTAACTAATCGTGTTAATAGATTGATGGGCCTCTTTTTAACTA